ATGATTTTCTCGTCACTGATACTCGCACCAGACTGCAATATGCCCTTTTTAACATCACCTGGTCGTACCTGAGCCTGTCTCCAATTTCTACCTCCCCCCCCCCCCCCTGGCACCGGGTAACCCCCCCCCCCCCCCCCCCCCTTCTCTCTCACCTGTACCCATCTGTAACCACGGCCAACTTTTATCCCCACTCATACCTGCCCATACCTGTACCCATACCCACACCCATGTACCGTCACCTGCCGATCGGGGCATACTCAAGAGTAAAACTGTTCTGGCCCTTCTGGGTCTATTTGACCACAATTACGGAGGGTGGCAGTAAAAAAAAGTCCAAAAAGAGGGGGGGAAACCCAAACCCATCCTCTATGCCGTGGATGGGTGTGTATTTTTCCACCTATTGGCCTTTTTTTTTTTTTTTTTTTTTGTGGGTAAGGGGGGCAGTCTTGAGGGATATCCACAGGTGACCCGCCGCAGGTGATTCGAGATTATTATGGAAGTTATTGTAGATTATATGTCATGATTATTGGTTATGGAGGTTCTGTCATGACAGGTATGTTGAGAGTTTATGCCTTTTGAAGTTTCCGTGAAATGGAGGGATCTCAACCCTGATATGCATAGTCGTCGAGCCATGCATGTCAGCTATAACGATGCTGACTGAGAATTCTTTTATTGGTTGTGTCCCGACCGGCAGGAGCAGGTCCTGAGCAGCCACTTCCACCTGGCCTGTCGCTCCCACATTGCCACAGGTTACAGGGCAGCACAACTCACCCCAGCGAGCTGCCAGCGTTGACTGGCCCTCGCCATCCTCCTCAGGCCACTGAAAGTGACGGCAACGGGATTCCAGCCCAGAACCTACACGCTGTACGCGGTTCCCCTCAGGCATGAAGCCTACTGAGCCAGCCGGCGGGATACAATTGCCATTTTACGCATTTGGTGGTGAGTCGTGGACCAAAGACCCAGTCGCATAACTTTTAGTTTCATGAATTGCAGGTGGTGATATGGATCCACGCAACTGACCGTTGTATGGCACAGTACTGGCAGGGTCTGCACAGGAAACCCAAAAAAAAAAGGGACTGTTTGATAGGTGTACTCGCTCGTACAGGCTGGGTGAGGCAAAAAAGGGTCTCATAGCTGTACTGTCCGACTTGAAATTACAGTTCGACGTGGAGGGGGGCGATGGGGTCCCCTGAGCCCAACTCGTATCCACAGGGTCCATGCCAAGGCACATCCGAACCTGCCAGTGCCCGGCAGGCACAGCTGGGTGCGATGGGGTACAGCTGAGTTTGGGTGGGTGCAGCAAAAAGTCAACAGTAGGTGACCTTTGAGCAGGAGCGTCGTGCAACTCCCCGTGCCAAGTTGCCCTCGATACTGGTAGGGTGATGGTCCTGAGTGCTGGTCACACTGAGGTAGGATAGCAGAAATAGGGGGTGTGCTGGGAGTATTAACGTGGGGAAGGGTAGAAGGGAAGGTGGCCTGTCCTGTCAGGACAACCATCGGCTGCCGGCCTGCCGCTGCCAGTTATCACCGTGGGTCCAGGCCTTGGCCTCTACAACACCCTGGGCTTAAAAAAAAAGAATGGAAAAAAAAAGCCACATCCGAACCTGCTCACCACCCGGCGGGGTACAGCTGGATGTGGCTGGCTACGGCTGGGTTTGGGTGTGTGCAGCATTGTTCAGCCATTGGCGCCCTTTGAGCAGAAGCATTGTGCAACCCCCATGAAAGCCTCACTCCCCTTGAAAGCCTCCCTCCATGACCTTATTTATGCATGCAAAGCAAAGCATCTCGGCAATTTCGCGACCTGCCTAAGGCTATAATTGAGCGAGCAAGTGAAGCATTTGTGCAGCAGAAGCTACGTAGCAACCACCCATCCAAAGCTAGCAGAGTGACTGGAAGTCGCTTCCAAGGCGAAAATAGACAAGTAATCCTTGTGGATTGTAGTTTTTGGCACGCTTACCTACCGGCGGCAATGGAAATAGACAAGAGAGGCTTATGTATGGGCAATGAAAATAGACAAGAGAGGCCTTGTTATAGTCTCCACAGTCCCAGTATACTTACCTCCTTGCAACAAATGCCATGACAGTGAACAAAGTTGCCCACTCCCTTCATTCCTATTCTTGCATTTCCGCGAGCTGAAGCACCACTTCATGTCAAAGAACTGGAAAGGGTCTCCTCTCAGAAGCGCTGCAGACCTGATCCTGTCTATTGCAGAAATGCGGGTGTGTGAGCGCAATGTCGGACATGGGGAGAAACGAATCCATGGGTTGATGGGCGCGAAGAAACGGATGGAAAGGGACAGGGTTGGTTGGCACAGATTCACAGTGATGCCAGACAGACCTTCAGCAACTGCTGTGGCTCCCCAATCTGACAACCACTCCTCGTCCTCCATTGTGAGCAACGAATATGCAAAAAGGGGAGAGAGGAGCACAGGAGTAGGAGAAGGCATAGGAGAAGGGAAGGGGGAGGAAGGGGGAGGGAGGGGGAGGGCAAGGAGGAAAAAGGGTAAGAAGCGCAAGTGGAAGCGGCAAAGGAGGAGGGGGACAAGGGAGAACAGATGGCAAGTGTCCAAATAGATCCACAGCTTTTAGTCTGAAAAGATTGCAATGGCCAAACAACATATTAACCCCAACGTTGCAGCACCTCTATCAGTCCCGGTGGCTGTTCGAAAACAAGAAGAAAAAAAAAAGCAAAAAAAAAGAAACCCCCCCAACGCTGCAGCGAGTTATTTGTTGTCGCCCCGCTCTCGCTCCTCCACCTGGAAGGTCAAGCAAGACTCAAGAGAGACCGGACTCTCCTCACTTGTGCCGAGTGAGGAAATTACCAAATTACCCAACAGGGGTAGGGTAGTTGACAGGGGTCTCCTGTGCCTTCGCTCCATGTCCACTACAGCCCGAGTGAGGAAATGACTAAACAGGGGTCTCCTGTGCCTTCGCTCCATGTCCACTAAAGCCCGAGAGAGTCGTGAGGAAAGAGAGTATCAATTATGAGAAGGAGATGGAGATCACCGAACGCCAATGTGCTCAGACATCCGCGACAACAATGACTTCCAAGCACTGTGCCTATCATACATCCTTTGTGGCTGCAGACATCCGCGACAACAATGATTTCCAAACACCCCAAAAACATGCAACCTCCCAAGAAAGCCGAAAGGAAAGCAAAAGAGAACCAAACAAATGAATGACTGGAACCAGTCACAGAACGAGTGACAGCATAGAAAGCTCACTGAAGAGTTTCAACAAGGGCACGTGTGAAATTGGGAAGCAAAATTGAAAGCAACAGAAAAGAAGACGCAAAATGAAAGCAACATGGACAGCCAAACTCTCAGGCAAAGAAAAAAAAAAAGGAAAAACTTCCGAAAAACTTCCGAAAAACTTCCGAAAAACTTCCGAAAAGCAATGTTACAATCCATCAGAAGTTCTTCAGAACACAACACCGATCAAGACGAGGACTGGCAAACAAGCGGAAAAAGAAACAAAGTGCATAAAAAATGATTAAAAAACAGGGAGCAGCGTTTAACACATAAGAAGCCCACGCCAGCGATAAACCAAATAATGCTCAGCTTATAAGCAGCACCCAAACAAGGAAAAGAAACCACGCGATAATAAACTCGAGGAAACAAATGGCTGAACAGATGACCTGAGCGAGGCTAACAAAAACTCAGATAGATGACCATCTCTCTCCATCTATCACACACACACACACACACACACACACACACACACACACACACACACACACACACACACACACACACACACA